GGGCTGAGGTGAGCATGCTACCATGAAATGTGTCTGACTCCTTTATTTCAATCTCTCTTTTATCTCTCATGCTCTCTATGACATTATAATATAGATATATATATATATCTCAACCGTACAATCGTGCCTATCAAACCCATGATTAGTTGTGGGGGGCTGGCCCTTTCCCCCCACAGGGAACCCTACACAGAGGGTCACTATGCATCGGCATCAGTGCAATGGCAGTGGGTTATTCACTGAGTGCAACCCCGTTTTAGTGTCATCTCTACTGACAGTCATGTGAGAAAAAAGGTCTCACTTTTTTCATTACATCTACAGTCTAATGCCCCAGCTTTATAGTCTGCCACATACATAATTAACACTTGGTACCTGTGAAGTACTTGCAATATTAAATCAATATTAACTATTATTAGTAGTACAATAGGCCATATTTGTGAGTCACCCCGCTCTGCAGACAGTGACAGAGGACAGACACCCATATATTTACCATTGTCTGATACACATTAAGGAGCCATGATGACACAGTGGTTACGGGTTGGGCTGCAATCGACAAGGTCTGCAGTTCAAAACCACCAGCGTGCTTTGTGGGAGAAGGATGGGGCTTTCCACTCTCATAACATCTACAGTCTAAGAAACTCACAGAGGCAGTTCTGCCCTCTCCGTAGGCCCAATGAGTCAGTTATTGACTCAATGGCAGTGCGTTGAGTTTGGTACATACTGAGCATTCAACCAGTGTTTGATAAATGTTGAGAAACAATGTTATGGTCCCATACTATATCGCATATTCATTATATTTTAAAGAACATTTTACAATGAAAATATAATGCTCTTCCTGATTTTTTGAATTGGTCTAAATTTGAATGGGGAAACAATTGGAGGCGGTTAAATCTTGCTGGACAATTTAGTTTTCTCACCTCTGTGAAAGAGAGTGATGACGTTTCTTTGGTCAACACTGTAACTCACCATAAGGGAAACTAAAAAGAAATAGCATTTTTCCAAAAGGAGAAAGAGGAATCCAAGACTTTTCCTGACTTTGGAATACATTCAGGCAGATCTGAATTCATAACCTCGCATTCACCTAGCCCCATGCTTCACAAAATGGAACTTGTTGGCTTCCTTAATAAACTACATAATAACCCTCTACCTGGGATAAGGAAGGAACACCAGGGACTGAAAAGCGAGGCGCTGTGGTGTCCCCTATGGGGGTCTAGATGGTCTCATAGTGGGAACTGCGCGTTTGCTCACGCCCGGCTCCCGGGGCCCGGGTTGCAGGTTAGTTGGAAAGTTGCTGCGTGCTGAGGGACAGCGTTAGAGGCGGAGAAAAGCTCCGGACGCGAACGAAGGAGTGTAGGGGCGCCACTAGGAAGAAAGGGGAAGAAGAGAAGCAGCGAGCGGATAGATTCATCGGGAAGCCCGGGACTTCGCAGTCCTCTTCGCAACCTCAGACGTTCTTATCTAGGGCTCTCCGCGCTCACACTCAGGTCTCCCCACTCTCACAGCAACGCCAGGCGAGCCCACGCGGACTGCGAGAGGAACTCACCGGACCGCTGGGCCTCCCGGCGTCCCCTCCCACAAGCCCCAGTATTCGGCCTCGACGGCGGAGCAGCGCTGACGTGGGGGAAAGGACCGCGGCCGCCCTCCCAGTTTCCGTAAGGGGGACGGTTTGTGACCCGGATGTTGACATGCCACCTGCCCCGGAAACGGTGGCGGGACGTCCAAGTGGGCGGGGGTGGTGTCGCGGGACTCTCCGGAAGGAGACGTGGCGGCGGTTGGGTCCCCGGCACCTTCTGCTTTTGTTGTCCGCCCGCCGCCTCCTCCCCCCCTCCTCCCCTCTGTCGGCAGCGGAGGCTTTGCGGCGGCTGGAGAACGCGGTGGAGGAGGATGGAGGAAGGAGGCGGCGGTGCGCGGAGTCTGGTGCCTGGCGGTCCAGTGTTTCTAGTCCTCTGCGGCCTCTTGGAGGCGTCCGGCGGCGGCCGAGCGCTCCCCCAGCTCAGCGATGACATCCCTTTCCGAGTCAACTGGCCCGGCACCGAGTTCTCGCTGGTCAGTACCCTCCCGACCCCCGCTGCCTCCCTCCTCTCCTGTAGCTAAGGGCCCGAGTCTGGCTCCCGGTATTGTTTTGCTTCTCCAAGAACCTCCCCGACATGGCCTTGCCTCCGTCCTCGCCGAGCCAGAACTTCATTTACTCTGCTTTATGAATAATCATTTGGCAGGTATGTGCATTCTGTGGAGCAGGGACTGTGGCAGGCACTTGAGGCTCCAGTGGTTTGTCGCTTGTTCTCTTTATGTCTGTCGCAGCAGATAGACCTTGCTTGCCAACGCTCCCACTCTGTGGAAGACGCTTTCTTAGAACCGAGTCAGACGGCACACTGGCCCCGGGAGAGTGCGGGCAGCTCCTCTCCTCCCTGCCCTGGCCACACAGTGGTTCTGCCGCGGAGTCCCAGTGCCTTTCCCGAAGTCTTCTTTCTCTCTTTTTTACCTACGCGGAAAGGCTATTTGGCCTGAGATGTTGACAACTGCATCATCTACAGCTTTGATGTTTTATGATCGGTGTTTTAGACCCCAGACAGTGATATTATCAGACATTCTGCCGTGGAGAGCATTCATGTCCCCGTGGAGATGAATGAACATTTGCGGTTCTGTCTTTGAGGTGCATACCACTGAAAAGTCTTCCCTTCCACGTGTGTAGCAACTGCTGACATTAATTATTTAATTGTGACACCTGATAATAGTTAATTAGCTTCTTTCAATTTGAAGTTATGGGGAAATGTTTTCAAAAATTATAAAAATCGCTGAAGAGGACCTTATAAAAATTATGAAAGTCTTATTGCAATTACCTAGAGTCATTCAACCTAGGACAGTCTTTTTTGTTGTTAAATGATGCATTCTTTGAAGCTATGATGTCAAAACAAAAGATTTAACAGAATGGCTTTTCTTCAATACCACAGTACCTCTCGATGTGCAAATATTCGTTTTTGCTGTGTCGCACACCTGATTTGTTTCTCATGCTTTCTGTTTTCAGTTCTCCCATTCTTGTAGTTGAGTAGTTCTCAAATTTGTTTTGAACACATAGAGGTGAATATGTCTCTTGAAGCCAGAGTTATCTTTGCAGTATGCTGTGAAATACTGATCTATTAAGATACTTATATGAAACTTTGTGGTAAATCAGATAAAACTTTAGCAGGTTTGGGGTGAGAATACTTTAGATCTCTGCTCTTTTTTGAAGAACACACTTGGACTGACATTGGCATCTGTGTAAACAATTAGAGACATTGGAATGCTTTGCTTTATCCAACCTCGTGGAGGTATAGAGACTGCTACGGGGAGACGATTGGCTTCAGAATGGGCCCAAGAGGAAAGAGGATGGAGGCATGGCTGAATTCAGCCTCACAAAAATTGGCCTTAAGCCGATTTTGTGTTTATATATGTGTGTAAGCCATTTGAGGTTGGAATGTGTGTGAGGCAGACATCTATCATAGAAGGAAAACTCAAATAAATGAAATGCAGTAATAGAAACACCAGGGAGACCTGGGAAAACAAGATGGTCCTATCAAGTTCCAGCTCAGACTGGCTTTAATTTATTGGAAATCCACACCCAAAAAAAGAGTAAACACGTGTGTGCATAATAGTATGTTTCAGGAAAAAATGCCATTCTTCTAATTCAGTTTTCCAGACTTTTTGAAGTGCCCCCCCATATGTAATATTCTAAATATTTTTTAAATATGTGTAATTTCAAATAAATACTTTTTAGCTTTCAGTTTTTCTGTGGTTTAAAGTATTACATATTACACAAAGTTGTATGGTGGGGATTTGACGAGTAACTCAAAAACTCATTGCTGTCTAGTCCATACCAACTCATAGTGACCCTGTATGAAGGCAGAATCACCCCTGTGAGTTTACAAAACTGTAACTTCTTACCGAAGTTAAAGACAGCTGGTGGTCTTACACTGAGGACCCTGTGGATCACAGCCCAATGGGTAACCAGTAGGTACCAGAGTTTCTTCAATTTTACAAGTAGGGGAGGAAAATCAGAATCAGCCCAAGACTAGTTCTGTGAGGCAGGGGTCTGGATGCTTCCACTCTTCTCCATTACCAATTCTGAAGCCATCCATCTCTCCACAACACTCTTTTTTTCTCTGCCACGTGGTCATTCATTGCACTGGCCACACAGAACTCTACAGAAAATATAATTATGGGGCTTATTAAGGATGTTAAATGTTCCTAAGTCAAGATAGCCTCTTCTCAGAGTTGTCCAGACAGGACTATGTGGCCCCTGACCTGGCTTCTGGCTTCCCTCAGGCAATGTTACAAACGTCTTTTAGTGCTACCAATAAATGCCCAAAGGGCACTCCACTCCACTGTGTGCCTTAGCCCAAAGTTGCTGAACTCTAGCTCCATGTGTCAGCAAACCTAACTCCACTATTACGTGCCTGGTGGCTCCAGGCACTCACTCAGATTTACTTGTTTCCTGGGCCGGAAAGCCCACCACCACTCTGCCTCTCAGTTTTGCTGCTGCGACTCTTCTGCTTTTCCAGTGTGACTGCTTTCTGTCCTGGCATTGGAGGAGCAGACTGGTGCCCAGGCAATCACATGCTGAACAGTGAGATCCCTTCTGTTGTTGAGATGGCTTGCTTTATACCAGCAGTTCTCAACCGGTCATGACCCCTTTGGGGCCAAACAACCCTTTCACAGAGGTCACCCAATTCATAACAGTAGCAAAATTACAGTTATGAAGTAACAACGAAAATAATTTTATGGTTGGGGGTGGTCACCACAACATGAGGAACTGTATGAAAGGGTCGTGGCATTAGGAAGGTTGAGAGCCACTGCTTTATACCCAACAGTATGGCAAAATTGGCCAGTCCCATGGTAGTGTGGCAAATTTTCACTGTCTCAAGTGGCTCTGTTAATGAGCACTCACAACTGAACCAAATTACCCTATCAGCATCTTCCCCCCACATTCTGTTTCCCAGACCCATTAGGAAAAAGTTGTTTGGTGGGAATTATAAAGACTATGGCAAGAAAAGCCATTATCAAGTGATTCACTGTTCCACACATATATATGTATATAATAAAATGTTACATGTGAGAGAACTTTAAAAAGTTCACGAAGTTCCATTATCATATAAGTCCATTTTCCATGAACTTTGTGAAGCTCCCTTGTATATACTTATATATGTAATATATTATGGACTCCCTTTTAGATACATGTTATTGAACTTTCACTGAAAGTGCACACAGCAAAACGAGTGTGTGTGGTTTTTATGATTACAAATAGTGTGCTGATCTGCCACCCTGAAAAACTTCTATTCTGTAAACCAGTGATTGAAGTTGACATTTTTTAGAAGTTACAACCAGATTGTTGTTTACTTTTCCTTCCGCACCAGTGTATGCTGGCTGAAGAGAGATCTGAGTTTTAGTGTCTGCCATACCAACCTTTCACACGGCTATCAATTTAATTTATTTTGAAAATCCCTATTTAAATCTTTGGCAGTGCAATATAAACTAAAATTTGAGGAAGAAGCTTTTGTTGTTGTTTTTGTTGGTTTGTTTTAGTTTGAATTCTTTTTAGAAGAATCTGTAGAGACTTTTCTATATATTACCAAAATGATTTGTAGCCCTGAAGTAAAAATAAGCCACCAAAGTCCTTGCCAGTGGACCTGACTTATAAACTAATCCTATAATCATACGGCACCCCTTACTGTTTTATTCCGTTGGAACAACTTCCTCCTCACCTGGTGCTGCCATTTTCCTGACTGGACCCGTTTGGTTGCATGGGTATGTGTAACTAAGCAGCTGTGCAAGCGAGGATAAGGCTCTTGGACTCATTGCATCTAAAAATGGTAGGGACTGGACCAAGATGAAAGAGATGGATTAGGATGCCATCTAAAAATGGAAGATATCTGTTTTTTAGCTTTAAATTCTTCTGTGCTTTAAGTTATTTTCCTATTCAGATTAATCAAAACAACATATACTCTCTTTTAAAAAAACATAAACACTTTAAAAAATATATTGCTTGCACATTCAATTAGAAAAAGTACTAATTTCTGTCTACTTTTGTGGTTGAGCATTCACACACACACCAAATCTCCCAGACCTTGGAAGAACGATGAGCAGCTCCGTGTGCAGTGTACAGTATACATACACCTGTCTATTGAGCAACATGGGCTTGAACTGCAAGGGCCACTTACACGTGCAGTTTTTCAGTGACGCGATGGGACCCTTCTAGGATACTGGCACTGAAGCTGAAGCCAACGGTGGAAGAAGGATTACTACTAGAAAGGAACCTTTTTAGAGAAAAGAAACAGCAGGAAAGTGGGGCAGAAATTACTATGGATTTCCATAAAATTACACTGAGGGTGCCATCTCCCCTTCCATCACCTCAAGCTCTTCTACCTCTGCCACACCTGAGACAGTAAGACCACCCTCTCTTCCTCCTCATCCTCCTTAGCCTACTTCATGTGAAGATGATTCATCTTGTAAACAGATCACTTAAACTATGGTATTGATAAATACAGTACAGTAAATATATTTTCCTACTAACATTTTCTCTAGCTTACAGTATTAAAAAATACAGTATATTGTGCATGTCACATACAAAATACATGTTAATGTACTGCTTCCATTATCAGTAAGTCATGTTGCTGGGAATCAGAGTTACACATGGTTTTCAACTGTCTGGGGGCCACCCCAGGTCACACGTGGTTCGGCTCAGCTGTAGGTGGACAAGTTGTGTCACTGAGTGTATTCCGCCTCCCCTCTCTCTCCCTTTCTCAGAACCCACGACAGACATCAGGGATTTCTCCCTTGCAAAGGTATATTAAAGTTCTCTAACATTAAAGTATCCCACCTTTAATTTAGATTAGTCTCATTAGGTTAAAATGTGATTTTGTATCACATCACTTAGAGACATTACCTCTTACTCTACCCAGAAATGGGTGTACTATCACATTTGTTCTGAGAATGAATAAGCTAAGGAATGTGAAACACTTGTAACACTACCAGAATGTAGCTAATACACAGCACTTTTTTATGTATATACAACCCTTTTTATTTTTTAATTTTTTCTGTTTTATTATTAAGAAATCATTTCATTGGGGGCTCTTATAGCTCTGATAACAATCCATACATCGATTGTATCAAGTATATATTTAAGCACTTATTTTCTATTTGAGCCTTTGCTAGCAGCATTTTTCCCCTCCCTCTCTCCTCCCATCCTCATATGACCCCTTGATAAATGATAAATTATTATTTTAATATCTTGCACCAGCCGCTGTCTCCCTTCTCCCAAGGCTGTTGCTCTACCCCCTGGGGAGGTGTTATGCATTGATTGTTTTAGTCTGTCTGTTGTTTCCCCTCATTCCCTCCTCCACCCACCTTCCCCCTACACTCCTGGTATCACTGCGCCCATTCCTGTTCCTGGAATCCATGTGTCGTGAGCTCTTATCTCTTCTCTGTACCTGAATACATGTTCTGGTCTAGCCCACAGTGAAAGGCAGGACTGGAATCATGATAGTGAGGGTTGAAGAAGCTTCAAGGAACCAGAGGAATATTGTGTGTTTCATTGGTGCTATTCTGCGCCCTGGTTGATTCATCCCTTCCTTGTGACCCTTCTGTGAGAGCATGTCCCATTGTCTACAGATGGGTTTTAGTTCTCTGCTCCAACCCTCCTAATTCTCAATAATATGGTTTTGTTTGTTTGTCTGTCTTGGGTCTTCTGATGCCTGTTACCAAATCTTGTTGACACCTCATGATCCCACAGGCTGGTGTGCTGCTTGTATGTGGGCTCGTTGGTTCTCTGCTAGATGACTGTTGAAGAAAGCTGATGGTGCCCTGCTATCAAAAGATATAGTGTCTGGGGTCTTAAAAGATTGAAGTTAAGTTAAACAGCACTTTTTAAAAAAATAATTTGTGTGTGTGTGAATTAGGTGAAGGTTTTCAGGGTAGATCAGTTTTCCACTTAACAATTCATGTATGTTTTGTTTCGTGACTTTGCTTGCAGCACCCAGTGTGACATCGGTTATCCCATTTCATCCTTGCGTTTCCTCTTTCCGTTACATAACTTTAATGTTTCACCATATAATGGACTTTATAATTGCTTGGACACTTTTCTCCTCCCCGATTAATGATAGGTTATTTCTATTTTTCCATCAAATACATAATTCTGAAAACGGAGAAATACAGTTATTAGCCATTCAAGAGATGCAACTCAACACAACATTTGAGATGTTTCCTCACTCCAACATTGATATCAGAGTTCAAACTAAAACAGAAAACAACAAATGCTGGTGAGTGTGTGGAGCTCCAGGAACCCTCCTCACTGCCGGTGGCACATGCTGCACACAGTACTGTTAGTTTCTTGTGCTTGACTGCCCAGAAAATACAAGGGTTACTCAATAAAAATGGGACAATGGCGCTGCTGGGTGGAACTTTTATAGTACGCATTCCACCCCACCCCACCCCACTCACTCTGAGTTAGTGCACCCAGTGGCGTCACCTGGGAAGGTTCTCTCTGGTCACAGTGAATTTTTTCCTAAAAGCAGTTTCACTCAAATTGCATTTTTTGTGATGGCTACCTTAAGAGAAATGCGTGTAGTTGTGAAATGTTTGCTGCTCAGGAAAAATGTTGTGATGTTGAACACAGCTTACAAGGACAGCGCTATGGGAAAAACTCAAGTGTGTAAGTGGTTTTCTCCTTTCAAAAAAAAGATTAAATGTCGATTGATAACAAACCTCATTCTGGATTTCCGTCAACTTCCTGAATGGACGAAAATGGCAATTTGTGCATTTGAAGATTATTCCACCAGGTCAGACTGTTAATCAAGTTTTCTATTTAGAGGTTCTGAAAAGATGCCCTGGCAGTGTGCAACCAAAAAGGCCTGATTTGTGGCAGATGGGGGACTGGTTTTGCCACCACAACAATGCACTTGCTCAAGCAGCCATCTCAATGCGCCAGTTGTTGAGGGAGGAAGCATACCTCTCCTGCCCCACGCACCTGACTCACCTGACCTTGCTCCGTGTAACTTCTTTTTATTTCTGCAAATGCAGAGGGATATGATAGGACAGCGATTTGATGAAGAAGAAAGAGGTGAAGAAAAAAAATGAGGGAAGTGCTGTCAGCCTTCCAAACAGATGAGTTTGAAAAATGTCTCCAAGAATGGAATCTCAGATTTGACAAATGCATTAAGTGTAATGGAGAGTACTTTGAAGGTGAATGGTTGTTTTGTGAAAAATTTCAAATAGATAGCTTGGTGGGGGGGCAGGGATTCCAGGGCTTTGGGGGGGGGATACCACCTTGTACATTGCCCTAATTTGCATTTACATTTAAGGTTGCTTTGGTGCCAAGGATTGCTGGTTTGATTGTTTACAGTAAAGAGTTGTTATTATTGAGTTGAAGAAAGAGCAGCGGAACTTGGTAAAGAATTGGTCTTCCCTTGCCACTGCAGGCCAGGTGGGAGAGGGGCACTGCCGCCCAAAGCGTGGCTGTGAACAGTCATGCCATGTGAAGCTTTTGTTGGTGTTTTAACCTCAGCCTGGTCATGTGCTGCCACCTGATTCTTTAGACTCCAAACTCTGTATCATTGCCTTTTGTCATGAAAAAGATGTAAAATCTATTTCTTGCCTTTAAAAATCCATTTGAAAACTCTTTTGTTGAAAGGGGAAATTAGTTTGAAGAACCTTTGTTTTAACTCGAGCTCTTCAGTTATTCCATGGAGTATAATGTAACCAAAGTAATATCTACTTTTTTAATATTTCTAGCCCTCAACTGGAGTTTTATATAAAGAAGATAACTATGTCATCATGACAACTGCACATAAAGAAAAATATAAATGTATACTTCCCCTTGTGACGGGTGGAGATGAGGTAAATTTTTAAGAATTGTTGATGATAATTCCTATCACTAAAGATACCTGTTTAAAACATTTCATCCACATACTTTTAAAATAAAAATGAAATGACAGGTTTAATGAAAATACTAGTGGAGGGAGGATGGGGTGGAAAGGGAGAACCAATTACAGGGATCTACGTATAACTTCTTACCTGCGGGGTGGACAACAGAAAAGTGGGTGAAGGGAGACGTCGGACAGTGTAAAATATGACAAAATAATAATAATTTATAAATTATCAAGGGTTCATGAGGGAGGAGGAAGCGGGGTGGGAGGGAGAAAAATGAGCTGATGCCAAGGGCTTAAGTGGAGAGCAAATGTTTTGAGAATGATGAGGGTAATGAATGTACAAATGTGCTTTCCACAATTGATGTATGTATGGATTGTGATAAGAGTTGTATGAGCCCCCAATTAAAACATTTTTAAAAAAATAAAGAATTTAAATATATCAAAAAAATACTGATCACTTTTATTAATCCTGAATTCTTGGTTTGGTTTTGAGGTTCAACTTGGAAGAATTACCAATTATTTATTAATGCTTGATTGAAAATGTAACTACAAACTAGCTTTATTCTGTAGGGATGAGGCCTTAAAACAAAGGTGGTTTTTGTTTTGTTTTTTTAAGATCATTTTATTGGGGGCTATTACAACTCTTGTTACAATCCATACATCAATTGAGTCAGACATATTGGTGCATATATTGCCATCGTTCTCTTCTAGCCATTTACTTTCTCTTGAGCCTTTGGGATCAGCTCCTCTTTTTTTCCCTTCCCCCCACCCACCTTCCTGGCCCTTTGATAGATTATAGATTGTTATTATTTTTATATCACATTGACTGCTGTCTCCCTTCCCCCTCTGGTTTCTCTTGTTCTTCCCCCTCGAGGGTGTGTGTGTGGTTATGTGTCATTCGCTGCGCTTGATATCCCCTTCCTACCCACCTCTACCCCTGCCCTCCCCCTACCCTTTTGGTATCACTATTCCCATTCCTGTTCCTGGGTTCCAAGTATCGTGAACTTTATCTCTTTATTGATGTACATGTTCAGGTCCAGTCCAGAGTGGGAAGCAGCACTGGGGTTATGACGGTGGGGGGTGAGGAAGCCTCAAGGAACCAGAGGTATATTGCGAGATCCATCAGTGCTCTACTGCAACTTGATGGACTCATCCTTGCGACCCCCTCTATGGGGGGATGACCCATTGTCTACAGATGAGCTTTGGGTCTACGCTCCGACCCCCCTCATTCTCACCAATGTGTTTTTGTTTGTTTGTTGTTTGTTATGAATATTCTAAAACAAGATGTTTAAGGGAATGACTTTTATCTTATTTCTTTTCTTTTTAAAATATTTTTAATTAAAAGATTTTATTGATGAATGACTTTTTATAAGGAATTTCTAATATGTAAATATAGGTACCTTATGTTTTCTCATTTGTGCCCTTTTCTTTCTCTTAAAACGCCCTCACTGCCTCTCTTCCCTCCTCAAGGCAGTGACTTCTTTCAAGATGAGAAAGGGGAGAGGCAGCCTGGTAAAATGGAAAGGACTCCAGCCTAGGAGCCAGGAGACTGAGGTATAGGCTGTAGTTAGGTGTGGAACCTTGAACATACTCCAAACTTAGTTCCTTTCCTCAGTAAATTTATTTGGACAATTACATATTTTTGTGTCATAGGAATATTGAATTCAGTGCTTTCTTGAGTTTTGTTCAGATTTGAAAACTAGGAAGGACACATATCTGTCTCATTTGTTTTAAAGCTCATTAAGATAGAAAAACACATTAGCAATACACTGACATAGGCATACAACCATACATGTATGAGACACTGAAACCAAAAATGGAAAAATACATAGGAAATTCAGAAGGACCTTAAAATGTACCAGTATGTTCTAGAATCTTCAGATTCTAGCATTCAAAAATTCTGAAATAGGTTTATACGAATTGTTCAAGAAATTGATGCTTTAACATTTTTCAGAGAAGAAAGAATGTACTGAGAGATTATTCTGTGTTCCATAGTTTATACTTTTTTTGAAGGAAGTGCTGTATCATAGGATCTTGTTAAAGGTTTTTATTTTTTTTCCTCCTTCATTTCCCAGCATTTGTAATTTGGCCATCAAGTGAGGTGAAGTTCTAGAAAAATTGTATTAAACTGGTGTTCTTTCTGCAGGAAGAAGACAAGGACTATAAAGGCCCTAGTCCAAGAGAGCTGTTGGAACCACTTTTTAAGCAAAGCAGTTGTTCCTACAGAGTATGTGTTGTGTGTGTATTTGTGTGACAGTTAGAAAACACATTTTCAAAAAAGAAAACAAATTTCTCGCACCAAGCAGGCCCTTAAAAAATAATTCTACATTTATTTGTTATATTGTATCAATTTTAAGTTGGTTGTAAATATGTTAATGCTTAATAGCATTTTGTTCTTTTTTTATCATTTTATTAGGGGCTCATACAACTCTTATCACAATCCATACATACATCGATTGTGTCGAGCACATTTGTACATATGTTGCCATCATCATTCTCAAAACACCTGCTTTCTACTTGAGCCCTTGGTATCAGCTCCTCATTTTTTCTCCTCCCTCCCCACTCTCCCTACCTCCTGGACGCTTGATAATTTATAAATTATTATTTTATCATATCTTACACCATTCAACGTCTCACTCACCCACTTCTCTGCGGTCTGTCCCCCAAGGAGGAGGTTATATGTAGACCTTGCAGTCTGTTCCCCCCGCATTTTGTTCTTTTGTTTCATGTGCCATTTACTCCAAATATTATTAAACAAAGAAAGTATCACAGATATCCATTGGTAGCTATCAGATAATATTTATTAAACTTACTTTAAATGTTCCTTCACATGAAAAGAAGCTTTCTTACAGAATTTTAATAAAAAATACAATGTGGGGTTTGTTTTGTTTTGGGCTATCCTGAAAATTATTCTGAAACCTTACTCTAGACTTATGACATTCATAGACTTGACTTCTCACAGAGAATTAGCAAAAACAATGATTAGATTTTTTCATATTTTTATATGGTATAAGGACCATTGAATGAAAGTTTACTGTAAATGTGAGAAGAAATCTACTCAGCTACAGTACTTAGAATATAAAATAAATAATTCAATTGTGTATGTAACCTTGGGATTTCTGAACATTTAATTATACTCCTCTACCTTAGATTGAATCATATTGGACTTATGAAGTATGCCATGGGAAACATATTCGGCAATACCACGAGGAAAAGGAAACTGGTCAGGTGTGTTTTACTTCAGAATTTAAAGTATGAAATACTATAAAATGAGAAGTTTAATAATGAGATGGATAGTTTTAAAGTTCTTTAAATATGTATTTGCAAAATATTTACTATATTTTTATTTTATTTTTAAATACAGAAAGTAAATATTCATGAGTACTACCTTGGAAATATGTTGGCTAAGAACCTCCTATCTGAAAAAGGTTTGTTTCTACACAGTGATTTGATAGTAATACAGGAATCTGATTTAAAATACATGTTCAAATTGGAATTTAAAAGATTTCCTTGAGGCCTGTCTGGATAGGACAGGCTGGATGAACAATCTGGAGGAGAAAACAACGGGACTGACAGTTCCGGGGTGACATGGGAGAGGGGGAGG